GGGGCTCCCCCTGCCACTTTCCCCACTTCCGCAGGGGAGCGGCACACCGCCGGCCGGCTCTCTCGGGGGCTGCTCAGATGTTATCTGGATGTTCCTGGTGCATGTTGTCTCTCTCCTCCTTTATAGTCCTCTTCCATCAATCCCAACTCTGCTACCCACATGCCGAGCACGCTGCTCTCCTCCAATCAGGAGCAAGATCAGCTCCTGCAGCTCATCAGTCAAATTGGCGAGAGGCAGCTGTGTAGAAGTTGTTTACTCCCTTTTAGCGCCATATTGTGGGAGAGCAGATGCATAGAATAAGTCTTAATTCCAGTAACTTAGTCTAGTCCGAGTTGCTCCCCACAGAATGTACTAGACTGTGTGCTAACCCTGGCATTTGGTGTTGTTTGGTCGCATCCTTAGCACAGTGCCCTGATCTAATCATAACAAAAAGAATAAAAATGGCAACTGCAATTTTATCTTCAAAACCATCTGCCGGCTAGAGCCTACTCAGGAATGTTGGAATGTTCCAGCACTATCTTTCTGTATGATTTTTTCTGTCAAATAAAGGAGAGTGGGTGTGGAATCAGAACCCTGAGAGTGGCTGCAGAATGTGACTGTTCTTGTTGGCTCCTGGGAGACTGCTTGTTACAAGTGTGTCCTGGTGCACTGCCTGAAGTTGTGCTTCTGTTTCTTTGTTGCTGTAGATGGGATAATAATACTAGCAGCATCAACTTCACGGAGGTTGTTCGGAGAATAAAACGGAGAATGTGTGTATTTTAGACCAGTGTCTGGCTTATCACAGGAGCTCAGCTTAGTCATTGTTAATACCAATAAATACCTTGTGGCAATTGTTCTAATGACTTTAAGAAAGTTTAGCAGACTTTGCAAGTGTGAAGGACTGTGATTTAAAAGTCATCCCCTGCCGGAGCCGCGGCTCAATAGGCTAATCCTCCACCTAGCGGCGCCGGCACACTGGGTTCTAGTCCCGGTCGGGGCGCCGGATTCTGTCCCGGTTGCCCCTCTTCCAGGCCAGCTCTCTGCTGTGGCCAGGGAGTGCAGTGGAGGATGGCCCAAGTGCTTGGGCCCTGCACCCCATGGGAGACCAGGAGAAGCACCTGGCTCCTGCCGTCGGATCAGCGCGGTGCGCCGGCCGCAGCGCGCCAGCCGAGGTGGCCATTGGAGGGTGAACCAACAGCAAAAGGAAGACCTTTCTCTCTGTTTCTCTCTCTCACTATCCACTCTGCCTGTCAAAAAAATAAAATAAAAATAAATAAATAAATAAAAGTCATCCCCAATCCAACAGCTCTCTGGTCACTGGAGTAAAAACAATGCATTTCATGTGTGTGGCACCTCCTTAAATTGCTCAGCCACTGTTTTGCAAACACAGGTATTTCACAGCGTCCTTGTGTTTGTTACCAGATGTACCTATGGCTAGGGACTTACAGAATTGGAAAAAAAATCTGCCTTGTTACTTCTGGGAGACTGTGTAGAAAATGAATAATTTTGAGTTAAATTGATTTATTTTTCCTCAGTGCTGTCCTCAAAATCTTTGAATGTGTGGGCAATAAGCTTTTCCCCCCTTCATTAGGATAGAATTAGAGTGTTTCATCGCTAGAAAGAAAGCTCTGAATTCATCTAATCCAGTGGTGTTCAAATTTTGGAGCACATCAGAGGACCTAACACAATGACATAAGGCGCACATGCTGTAGCCCTACCTCTGCTCTCCGGGATCCAAATATCTGGGACTAGAGCCCAGGGCTTTGTATTCAATAACATGTCTATTAACTTTGTCAGGGTAAAGCTGAGTTTATGGAACACAATCTCAGAGGATGGTGGGTTAAAACACAAATATTTATTTTTATATCAAACAACAGTCCCAAAATGAGCGGTCAAGGCTGGCAAAGTAACTCCACTTAACACATTGCTCAGAGATGTGGCTTCCTTCCAGTTTGCTGTGTGGTCCCTTCCTAGGCGATCATCACCACCTGTGCAGTTAAAGTGAGATGCACTCGTGTCCACCTGGGGGATCTGGCTCTGGAGAAGAATACTCCACCACAGAGGAAGGTGTCCAGAGTCCTAAGACCTGGGCTTAGAAGTGGCCCACGTGACATCTGCCCCTGGTGCCCGGGACAGCAGCTCTGGCTGGGCTCTCAGTGTGTCCCTGTACCCCTTTGCCTGGAGGGCAGCCTGCAGATTCTGCCACAGGGATCCTGATGCACCCCTAACTCTGGGGACCCAGACCTGATCGTGCAGATGAGAAAGTCACGTCCCAGCGAGCTTCACTGGCATTATGGGGGTGAGGCCCCTCCCAAAACACGCTAAAGGACTTATCTGTGATGTTTCAAAGCCTCTCTTTCCCATCAGTGCTATCTTGGGAACTTGAAACGAGTGAATTGCTTTCACTTTAGAGTTGTTGGTTAAGAGAAATGGAGTATAGTTCATGTTGAGAAAATAGAAGGAATGGCCGGCGCCGCCGCTCAATAGGCTAATCCTCCGCCTGTGGCGGCGGTACCCCAGGTTCTAGTCCTGGTTGGGGTGCCAGAGTGCAGTGGAGGATGGCCCAGGTCCTTGGGCCCTTGCACCCGCAAGGGAGACCAAGAGGAAGCACCTGGCTCCTGGCTTCGGTTTGGCCGCAATGCCCGGACTTGGGAGGTGAACCAACAGAAGGAAGACCTTCCTCTCTGTCTCTCTCTCTCTCTCACTGTCTAACTCTGCCTGTCAAAAGAAAGAAAAGAAAAGAAAAGAGGAGGAATAATTAGAGACAGTGAGGGCACTGCTTTTATGCTAACTACCTAACTACCTCTCTCAGATTCTCTTTTGCAGACCTATCACTCCACTCTCAACTTCCTTCTCTACTTAACTGTCCCTCCCGTGACCTTTTCTGTACTTGGCTCTGTCTCCTCACTCAATTCCTCTCATTTTTCCTTTCGAGCACAGCGATAGAACACCTACCTACTGCTCAGTTATATTTTTAACAAGTACAAGAGACACTTGACTTTTTCTCAGCAGATGGAGCTGGTAAAATCAAGTAGGCTGAGATGAACGAGAAAAGGAAAAGGAAGGGCATTAGGGTAGGCCTAGAAGCAAGACAAGGCACAGCAAGCTCTGTGACAGGGAAGAGAATCGCCCCAAAGCGAGAGGCAGGGCAGGTGCTAGCAAAATGAGGATGCAGCACTGGAGGTCGTAAAAGTCAGCCTGAGACTTAGGCGTGAAGCCTAAGAGAAAGTGAGCCTGAAATGGATTAGGGAGAGACAAAGAATGTTATTGCAAGGAGTTAAATGGGTAATAGGCAGCCAGGGTGGTCTCATGGTAGAAATTTGGAATTTTGAGGTGCCTGCCCCTCCCCAAAAAGGTTATCTTTAGCAGAACAAAGTATTCTGTTTTCTTACAAGTCTTAAGGTAATCTCCAAATTTACAAATTTACCATGAAAATAGCAAGGAAGTGGTGATTCCCCACCACCACCCCATTTTTGGATTTTTTTTTTTATCAGAAACAAGCCAGACAGGGTGGAGGATGGTAAATCCAGTCTTTTGTTGAGTTTGTTTGCACCTCCTTGTTGACTGACAGTTTGGTCCCGAGATTGTACTTAAAAACTCTATTACCACCAGCCCTTTGAGTCTTCCTCTCTTTGAACACCCCCGCCCCGCTTTGCCGCTCTGGCAGGAGGTTTGCAACCTAAATAAATCCTACTTTACTTTCAATGCTGTGTCTGCATGATAATTCTTCTTTTGCCATTGTTTTCCCGTAATATGATGAAAACATATATTGTAGGATCTGAAACCTCCAAATCATCACCTTCACCGTGGACTTCAGGATGCACCTTGTTGTGAAGAGTGACAAGCTTCGGGGTGAAAGCGCTGGCTCTCAGCAGCGCTAACTGCCCTGAGCACCTCCACACTCAGCATCTCCCAGGCCTCAGACTCCAACGATGTGACGGGTGTTGGAGATTAGGGCACCAAAGGACTAGAACACAGCATTCCTGATTCCTGCAGAGAAGCGAGAAGCTCGGCCTTAGCTAAGCCTCATTAAAGGACACTCCTGGTCCAGAAAAAGGTTTCCTTCTGGGCCTCGGCTCTACTTTTCTGGGGGGGGAAGAAAAAAACCTTTGCTCAGCCCTGGACGAGGCCGGCTTTGGTTTTTCTTACATGACACAAAAAAACCTCCAAGACAAGAAATAGGGATGATTTCTGGAATTGACAGCCCCCTCAGCTAGAGCTGGAAATCCTACAGGAGGAAAGAAGTTACTCAAACGTGAACCAGTCTGGAACGAAGAGGTGCCTGCTGGGGCTGCCCGACTGTAGATGAACCCTCTCTTCCATTGACCTCAGACTCGCTCTGTGAAACTATCCCTGGAGAGGAACTCAGAAAGCACATCAGAAAGCCTGGGTCCTCCTCCCAAGAGGAAACCTTCAGGACGCAGCTAATTTCCTTCTATCACTCTCTCTTCCCACTTCCAAGTGCAAATTACGTGTTAATCACACACCTCTTTGGCCAAATCCAGTGATGGTTCATTTAAGCAGCCACCACCACCAAAAAGTAGAAAAATGTGCTGTTATACTCCATATTGGTTTATCATTAGAGTTTTTCAGTTCCAGTATAACAATAATTCTGCACCAAAATGAAAAACATTGGGAAAATTCATATATAAAGAATTATATGCAGGGGCCGGCACTGTGGCACAGTAGGTTAATCCTCCGCCTGCGGCGCTGGCATCCCATATTGGCGCCGGTTCTAGTCCCAGCTCCTCTTCCAGTCCAGCTTTCTGTTGCGGCTCGGGAGGGCAGTGGAGGACGGCCCAAGTGCTTGGGCCTCACACCCGCATGGGAGGCCAGGAAGAAGCACCTGGCTCCTGGCTTTGGATCGGCGTAGCTCCAGCCGTTGAAGCCAGCTGGGGAGTGAACCAACGGAAGGAAGACCTTTCTCTCTGTCTCTCCCTCTCACTGTCTGTAACTCTACCTCTCAAATAAATAAATAAAATCTTAAAAAAATAATTATATGCAACAAAAATGTCTTGGTGGTACAACATTCATCTACACACATTTATTGAAAATGGGGGTGGCGGGAGGATTACAGCGTCAGAGCATGTATGAACAGCAATGAACAAGGTAACCATCCATACTTTTGCAGAATGTTGACTCATGAAGACTTACAAATAAATAACTGAAAAAACTGGCTGCCATATCAGAAAACATCAAGATCGAACGTCAGTCCGGCCTGGAACTTGGCACAGACTTCCTATCTCCATCTCCATGCCTTCTTCATTCCTCCATGGCTGGCCATTACTGTCTCGCAACTCCAGCGAGACGAGACTTTGAGCACAAACTGCAGTCAGAGTTTCATTCCTTGTTTTTATAGCAACCTGTGAGATGGGGCTGAGGCTGGAGGAACGGTTGCTGTGTAGCAGCGGAGCAGTGACACTGAGAGCAGCAGCTGAGCCCAAGGGAGTCTTCCGTTAGGCGCATCCTAGTGATGGCAGAGCCACGGCTGTGTGGGTGGCGATGCACACACTGAGCAGAAGCATGAAAGCAGCCTGCCACACTCATTCACTATTCTTCGGAATAGTCTCGTCGGCAGTACCATTAACTGTGAACTAGCCACGTTGATTTTAGAACTTCTCTCCTCACTTTTGCCCAGGTGGCTAGACTCAGCTTCTCACCTTTAGAACTGAATTAGCATAGAGTTCAATATGGTGCAGAGAAGGCAAGGAGTGGAAGGAAGGAAGGAAGGGAGGGAGGGAGGGAAGGGAGGGAGGAAGGAAGGGAGGAAGGGAGGATGGAGGGAAGGGAGGGAGGGAGGAAGGAAGGGTGGGAGGCAGGAAGGAAGGAAGGAGGGAAGGATGGAGAGGAGGGAGGGAGGGAGGGAGGAAGGGAGGAAGGGAGGAAGGAAGGAAGTAGGGGGAGGGAGGATGTGAATCTGCACGCCAGGATCAGCTGTACATTTTAACTGGATTACCCATAATTTTGGATTTTTCACTCCTCCAAAGAGTATAAATAATCAAGAGTTTACTGTTGTGCGAGATGATGGATGTGGATGATAGAAGGAAAGGAGGAAGGACAAGCATGCACACATTCCTCTCAGGTAGGCTCCAGTCTCAAAGGCCTGTGGGATTTAGAGTTTAGAGCCACTGACTAACCAGCTCATCAGAGAATGGCCGGTCAGCACCGTCAGCAGTTTCTTCAGTGAAGTAACACTGTGGTACCGGCACCTGGGGAACTGTCTGCCCGTGGGGAGCTGGCACATGGTCTTCTCCGGTTCCGCTCTCTGACAGCAGCTTACGCCAGGATTCTCTCCACACTTGCAGCTGGGCATCTTCTGGACCCCACGGATCCCTTCCATGGTGCCACAGGTGAGGTCATTGCTCAGCCTGCAAGAGCCGTTGGCTTCGGAAGCTTTTCTCCAGATAGTCACTTCATTGCAGCATTCCCTGTCACTACTCAGACTGTTTACCTTGGGGATTCTATACTGTAACTTCCTGAGTGTCAGTAAGGAGGAAGACATCATATCCTTGGACAGGATGGGACTGGTGTTTTTATCTAACAAGGTCAAGTTCATTAATACCTTATCAGTTTGTGTTTCTCGACCGCTCTTTGCCAAGGCATATTGCACTTTCTTCGCTGCAAATTCTTCTTTAGTTACCTCCACTGTGCTTTCGGAAGCTCCTGTGAGAACCAGTCCCAGGCTGAGCAGCAGCAGTGAGGTCTCCATCTCAGACCCAGGGTAATCTTTTCTGCTATAAAGACAAAAAGTAAAGGATAAAAACAAGGAAAATCTTAAAGAGACAGTTCTCTTTTCCTTATAATTGTTGTTCCCAGGAGTGACTCCATTGTGTAAGTTAAGACCCCTACATATTTTAATAAAAGTAAGATAAAGTGAAAAGATAATTTGAAGCTCTGCGTTCCAATCCCTGCTTCTCCACTTGCAATTTATCCCATTTAACCTCAGTTTCCCCAACTGGAAAAAAAATTAAAATGTGAGAATTAAGTAAGGTGATATGTTTAAAGTACTGGAACCAGGTGTTTGTTTCTCTCTTTTTTTCCTTTTATCTATAATCTTAGATAAAAAAAATTTTATCCAGCATATTCTTCACTGTTTTTATAGCTCCTAGTCTTACACCCCTATCTGGCACATGATAACCACTGGAAGAAAGGAAACAAAATGCAACACACAATGTCACTTCCCCTTCCCTCCTTGCGCTTCCCACCAGTTGTCAGCCCAGGGACCTGTCTTTACCAGCTCCTTTGTCAAGCTGATCCTGCAGAGAAAGGCTCCAGCTTGCTGCAGGGTTAGAAGTGCAGTTGTGCCTGTTTCCTGGGAGGTTCAATGCTTGGGTCTGAGGAAGGAGGGGCAAGAAAGCTGTAGATAGAAGTGTATGAGATTGACAGAGGAGACAATGTGGAACCAAGGACACTCAGGGAGAACTGAACAAAGTGTCCCTTGGCTGCGGAATCCCAACCACCCAGGCTAATCACTGCCTCCTCTTCTGTGACACTTCCCAGTCCATGGTTTAACCGAGAGGGATTTTTCCTTTTCTGAACCCTAAAGCCCAGATGATGATGTACTTCATTTTATGTCTTCTTTTTCATTATCCGTGTCAGTTGATACATATCGGTCTTTTTTCTGCTCTTAGGGGAGGGAGAACTTCCTGAGCCTGGAACACAGTTTCTTACTATTCTGTACTGCATCAAATACTGAACTGAACACACAAGTTTCACAACAATATTGGTTAACAATGAAACAAGGCTTGATCCGTGTAGAAAAATTCTTCATTTAAAGTCAATACCGGGCCGACGCCGTGGCTCACTAGGCTAATCCTCTGCCTAGCGGCGCCGGCACACCGGGTTCTAGTCCCGGTCGGGGCGCCGGATTCTGTCCCGGTTGCCCCTCTTCCAGGCCAGCTCTCTGCTGTGGCCAGGGAGTGCAGTGGAGGATGGCCCAAGTCCTTGGGCCCTGCACCCCATGGGAGACCAGGAAAAGCACTTGGCTCCTGGCTCCTGCCATCGGATCAGCGCGGTGCGCCGGCCGCAGCGCGCTGGCCGCGGCGGCCATTGGAGGGTGAACCAACGGCAAAGGAAGACCTTTCTCTCTGTCTCTCTCTCTCACTGTCCACTCTGCCTGTCAATAATAATAATAATAATTTACTTATTTATTTTCATTTTACTTGAAAGGCACGGAGTGGGGAGGTATCTTTCATTTGCTGGTTCACCCCCATATGCTTGCGACAGCCAAGAATGGGCCAGGCAGAAGCCAGGAGTCCAGAACTGAATCTGGGTATCCTAAATGGGTGACAGGGACCCAAGAACTGAGCTGCTTCCCAGGGTGCACGTTAGCAAGAAGCTAACTTGGAAGTGGAGGAGCCAGGACTCTAATCAGGCACACCAGTAGGAGATACAGGTGTCCCACAGAATATCTTAACCACTGTGCCAAATGCTGGCCCCTTAAAAGTATATTTGATTTCGGGGCTGGCCACCACCTGCAGTGTCAGCATCTCATATGGGCGCTGGTTCCAGTCTCAGCTGCTCTACTTCCAATCCAACTCTCTGCTGTGGCCTGGGATAGCAGTGGAAGATGGCCCAGGTCCTTGGGCCCCTGCACCTGTGTGGAAGACCCGGAAGAAGCTCCTGGCTCCTGGCTTCGGTTCGGCACAGCTCTGGCCTTTTCGGCCAGTTGGGAAGTGAACCTGTGGATAGAAGACATCTCTCTCTCTCATTCTGCCTCTCCTTCTCTCTCTGTATAACTCTGACTTTCAAATAAATAAATAAATCTTTAAAATGTCCTGTGTATGACAATAAAGCAAATAACTATCCCTGAGATATAGGAACCTTAATAATTGGATGGATGGACTACTGGTAGCATTAAGCAGACATGGTCCTGGGTGAGCCTCCCGAGGGTGCCTGAACACAGCTCTGCTGCGTGTGGAAAGCAGGAAGGAGGGATTCCCAGAAAATGTCTGCTTCTCCACCTTTGACATTAATAGTGAAGTGATGACAGGAAAGCAGAAAGACAGTGAGGAGAAATCCATGCAAGAAGGGCAGTGCAGACTCTTGTGTTCCTGAAATATGTACTTTAATTGGACAGAACTCACAGCTCTCTGGGTCTCATTTCAGACTGTTGCTCATTTGGGAGAAAAAAAAAAACACCCTGGGGGCTGTGGCTGTGGTGCAGCCAATTAAAGCCTAGACCTCCAGGGCAGGCATCCTGTCCCGGCAGCTCCACTTCTGCTCCAGTTCCCTGCTAATGCACCTGGGAAAGCAGCTCTGGCTGTTGCAGCCATCTAGGGAGTGAACCAGCAGATAAGAGACCTCTCTCTCTCTCTCTCTCTCTCAACTCTTTCAAATGAATAATAAAGCCAAGCCCACTTCCCCCAAGCTATACATGTGAAAAATGTTGCAGGATTCACTTGAAGTGAGTTTTGATCCCTTTTGAATGAAAATACTTGGGGTGGGGGTGGGGGGGAGGTGTTTGGCACAGCTTTCAAGACACTAGGATGCCTGCATCAGAGGTCCCTGGGTTTGAGTCCTGGCTCTGCGTCCAATTCCAACTTCCTGCTAATGCACACCCCAGGAGGCAGCAGGTGTCAGGTCAAGTAGTTGGGTTCCAGCACCAATCGAGCTAAAGTCTCCAGGCTTCATCCTGGCCTGGCGCCAGCTCTTGCTGGCATCTGGAGAGTGAATCAGCAGATGGAAATATCCTTCCTTCCTTCCTTCCTTCCTTCCTTCCTTCCTCCCTCCCTCCCTCCCTCCCTCCCCTCTTTGAAAAAACAAAAATAAATACAATTTTAAAATGCATAGAAAACACTCCGATGGCTGCCATTGCAGCCTCGGTTACTTACACTTTTATGGGACTGCGCTTACCTGCAAGGTTTTGTTTTTATTCAGAAGTGGGGAGGTTAGAGGAGGCAGAGGAAAGAAAGTGCTGAGAAGGAAAGCAACGACAACACAGCCCAGGGAGGGGGAAGAAAGGGAAGCAGAATGCAGAAAACAGAGCAGGGGCCCAAGATGAACCGAAGTTCATCTGCGTCCAGTTTCACTCAGGAAATGCTGACACCAAGATCCAACGATTCGTGTGCTGAGAACCACCTGCTCCTGCTCAACTTGGTGCATGCGTGTGTGAGTGTGCGTGTGTGTGTGTTTAAGATTTGTTTTATTTATCTGAAAGGCAGAATTATACAGAGAGAGACAGAGATGTTCCATTCACTGGTTCATGCTCCAAATGGCCTCATCAGCTCAGGCGGGGCCAGGCTGAAGCCTGGAGTGTCACAGCACGGAGCCAGGAGCGTCTCCCAGGTTTCCTGCGTGGGTGCAGGCCCTACTTCCCCAGGCACCTAGGCAGGGAGCTGGATCTGAAGTGGAGCAGCCGGGACTTGGAACTGGCACCCATGTGGGATGCTGGCACCCAGGCAGCAGCATCCTCTGTGACACCACAACACCAGCACCCCTATTCAACTTCTATTCAGATTCGAAGGCTCTGCTCACTTGGTGGCATGAAGACAGGAATAATGGCAGGATTCCCACAGAGAAATTAGTAATGCAACAGCTACCAGAGGCCACAAGGGGGAAGAAGTCGTGGGATAGGGGACTTTCTGCCTACTTGCCAGGTTGTGCAGTGTCCTCTACGACCCCTTGTGACTGTCCCCCATAAATCTAATCAATCCGTCAGAACTTGATGCCTACAAAAGATGGAAGTAACAACCAGCGCAAGTGTACCTCCTTCTTTGAAATGACCTTGAATTCAGTCCAAATGAGCAATGCAGCAGTCGAAGTCTCTCAACTGAGAAGATCGGGACAGAAAGTGCCCTGCAAAGCCAGTGAGCCGCTCAGGCCTGCCCTAACCCATTGTGTGTCTCTGGTTCTCATATACGGGATCAAAACGTCTTAGCTTACAGTTGGTGACCTGAGGAGCTGGCGTTGTGGCATAGCAGGTAAAGCTACTGCCTGTGATGGTGGCATCCCATAAGGGCGCTAGTTTGAATCTAGGGCTCTGCACCCACGTGGTAGACCCGCAGGAAGCTCCTGGCTCCTGGCTGCTGGCTTCCACCTGGCCAAGCTCCAACCATTGCAGCTCTTTGGAGAGTGAACCAGCAGATGGAAGACCTCTCTCTCTCTCCCTTGCCCTCCTTCTCTCTCTGTAACTCTGCCTTTCAAATAAATAAATCTTTAAAGAAAACAATTAGTGACCCAATAACCTGGCCCTTATTTGTCAATTACCCTTTATTTCTTACAACTTCCTAATATTAAGCCTCCCCTCCAGCAAAGCCAGCTTCTACACTATCTAAGATATGGAATTGCAGAGTAACAGGCTTGGAAGGAACCGCAAAGACCATGTGGTTGAAGTCCCTCACGTTACAGGTGAGGAAGCTAATGTCACAGACCAGAACCCGCTGGCATTCCCAGAACTAGGATCCTCTCCCTCTCCCTCTGGCGGGAAGGTTACCATGCCCACAGCTGGGCCTTAGGAACTAAGCAGTGAGCACGTGCGTCAGAGGCGGAAGGTGACGAGTTAGTCTGACTCAAAGTCCTTTCTGTTCCCTCTGGAGGTACAGAGAGCGAGACCCTGAACTCTGAAAGACACGGTGCCTCCCTGGGAAACCCTTAGCCGCTTCTCTCCAGTCTGTAAGGGAATGGTTTCTGAACAGTCAGCCTCCTTCTGACCTCTCTCCCCTTCCCTTTCAAGGCAGGGGGAGGTGCTGGCCAGGACCAGGTGCCCTTTGAGTGGTAAACAACATCTGTAGAAAAGACCCTGAGAGGGGATCCCAACTGTCTTTATTCCTAGAATCAGGGCTGGGATTAGGGTAAAGTGATTGAGTCACTCATTCCAGCTATGAAAGTTAACGGGATATGAGAAAACTCAGTAGTCAAGATAAATAATATTTAAATGCAACACTAAAAACTAGTACAGTATAATCCCTGGAACAGATACTTAAATAACAGGATTTGATCTATAATAGTACAACTCCTATAATTTGACTACCTCTGGGTTCTTTTTTTTTCTTCTTTTTTGTGTCCTCTTAAATCTCGCCCCTGAAGTGAGTGTCTCATTCACTTTACCTTAATTCTAGTCCCGCTTCCAACTTACTCTAGGCTCTTATCAAATGACTCAAACACAAGGAACAAAAAGTAAAATCCACACACACTGAGTTTCTGGTTTCATTCAGTAAAGACTTCTTTATTGAAGCAAAGCGAAACACTTAGAACTCTGCCATCCTGGCAGGACAACTTCACTCCTATAAGCACCCATTTCCTTCAGACCTTGCCTCAGGGACAGCCAGCCCCAGAGCCCCTGAGAGAAAAGAGGGCAGCAGAGTCGGGTGTCCAGCTGGTCATTCAACATAGCCCTCGAAACTAACCGGCCCCAAGTCATCGCAGGTCACCTGGATGAAGGCCTGCGTGGGGGAAATGCGGTACCTGCAGGCGGGGTACCGCGTGCCCTCAATGAGCTCACAGACCGTCACTCTGAACTTGGTCTCGCTCTGGAAGCAGAATATGGTGGAATGGTTGAGGCAAGCCACCCTCTTGGGAGACATGCAGATGCTGTTGATTTTCTGGGGCCTCTCGTGGATGAACACGTGCTCCAGTTTGCACGTGTGGTCGGGCTCCCTGATGAGTCTCTGCTGGATCATGTGGTTGCAGTACCGGACAGGAGCACTGTCCTGCGGGTAGTCCACGTGCAGGTGCTCCAAGGTGAACAGCACTCCGTTCTCATTTAGCTCATTTTCCCAGAACAGAAGCATCAAGAAAATGATCACCATTAGAACCATCACGGGTAAAATTCCCTTCACATCTCTGGCTTTCACTCCTGTGGAGGAAGAGAACGCAGGAAATCACAGAGGATCCTCCACGTTCTCACCCTCTCCGGTTCCTAACAGATCTCCCACCTTTGGGACAGCGTCTTTCCTTCTCTTTGCTCCTTAAAACTGTGCTGAGCCTACAAGATCCAGCTATGGGTACAGACCCCGCAAAAATGCCCTTGCTGGCCATTTCAGCCCTCTGAGTTTGTAGTTAACTGTTCTCTAATTCCTCCCCTTGTGTTGCTTCTACGACCTTCTACAAGTCCTTCAGAGCGCTTACCACAGGGCTGAAGGCACAGCAGGTGCTCAAGCATACCAACCACTTCCTGTCCCCGAACATTCTCTCCCCAGATCCCACCGGATTCCACATGCTTTAATTCTGCATGCCCGTCCGTGCCTTCCCAGTCCCTCCTGGCGTCACGCCTGCTTCGCTCTGTGCTAGTGCCTCTCACCTGCCCTTTTGGCTGTCAGTCTCACAGGTAACATATCCTTCTGATCACGAATCTGAGAGAATACCTTGTGTCTCACTGCTTTCTGACAACTGACCGGGAGCAGGCTGAGCGTAGGGAGGGGGCGAGCAGAAAGGGAGGGACCTCTAAGGCGCCTGCTTGGCTGCCATTGGGAGCAGCCGCCTTCGGAGGGCAAGTCCAGTAGGCAGGTCTGGAACGCAGCCTCACTCAACAACCGTGGGCATTTCAAAAACATTTAACGGAGGTCTGAAGTGTGCCAGGCACAATATTCTCTGCTTTCCAATCCAAATTTCCAAACAGTCCTGACTACAGACCGGTGGCGGAGCTGTTATTTACAAATGAGCTGCAGAGAGGTTGGGAGTGAAAAACGGGACTGAGTGCTTGAGTTCCAGCTCCAACAAGTTCAATCCCCACGTGGCATCCAGGATGGGGCAAAACCAGTGCCCTGGCATTAGCACGGTCTGGACAAAGTCCAGGGCTTGTGACTCATAGGACCACACTGGAACCACCTGGGGACTGAAGACGACACTGGATTCCAACCTGCTATAGGATGTGACAAGGGGCGGGGGTTATTGAGGGACCCCACCCCTCTCATATAGAGCAACATTTGGGAACTACTAAACTATGGTGTAGTTGGGAAACTTTCACAGGATATGAGAGAATGGGGACCCAGACTGGACCCAGCTGTAGTGGGCATTTAGGGAGTGAACCAGCAGATGGGATCTCTCTCAAGATTCTCTCTCTCTCTCTCTCTCTCTCTCTCTCTCTAATTCTATCTTTCTCAAAATAAATAAATAATGTTTTTTAAAAAGAAAAGAAATGAAATGAACTCGATGACTCAGATGGCAGCTCTGTGACTACACGTTTGAATGTCCCCTCGCTGAGGGAGGCAGCCGGCCATTCAGCCCGGAGTCGGGGTAAACAAGGGAGCTGCGTGCTGGCTGCCAGATCGGAACTCCCAGAGTCGGGCGTGCGCAGGAGCAGCCCCGCGAAACGGCCTAGGGACCTGGCGTTCCACTCACAGGGTACCTCGCTGTTGAAGACGAGGCACGATTCACCCCTATTCTGCTGGTGGCGGGTGCCCAGGGCTGTGTGTGACATTGCAGGGCTGCTCTCCAGACAAACCGCTGAGCACTCTTGGCCCTCCCTGCCCTGCTCCCGGGCGCAGGTGCACGCTCACAGCCCAGAGGAGCTGCGCCGGGCCTGGGCAGGGCGTGTTCTAAGTCAGAGACCCGTAGTCTCAGCCTTGCGGTGAGGGCTCTCGGCCACACACACGGGAGCCGCTGTCCCTGCTTGGAAAGACCCTGCGCCGCTCCTCGTTGGACAGATTTCTCTGCGTTCCTGGAGTGCTCACCGCCGCGTGACAGCCCAGGCAAGACCAGGCTGGGCCGAGTTGCACCAAGCGTGTCTTCCTCAGAGCTGCACGGCTGGCCCAGCCCTTCTTCCTTCCAAGGCTAAGGGTGCCTTGCGCATACCCTAGCTGGCTCCTGGCCCAGCCCCAGGCCCAGCCGCCAGAGGTCCCTTGGAACCTTCACAGGAACACACACCTCAAGTGTGTGCTTTTAAGTGGTCACTCCTGGGACGAGGAGCACAGGCCGTGCACAAGAAGTCTCCCAGGAAACCACTCTCCCTCCCTGGGCTGCTCCCGGCCTGAACTGACCCGGCTCCCTCTTGCCAGGCGGACACCCCCAGGTCTCTCGGCGGCGCAAGCCCTCCACGTTCCGCGGGGTGCAATCCCACGCACGCTTCCCTTGCTTAGCTAAGCCGTCCGGGAACCCCCAGGGGGAGTGAACAGCTCCTGTTCTGCTCGCGTGAGACCCTGTGTTTTCCTTGTGGCCCTTATCACCGGCACGCTAAGCGAGCGAGAGTTCTTGGTAGTTAGAAAATTTGCCTGTTGCGCGCGGGCAGAGACCGCCTGTGTCTAGCTGCCTTCAGGAATCTGTTTCAAGCGCAGCGCCTGGGATACGATAGCGCTCAACCAACATGTGCTCAGTGAGCACTGAGGGAGCAAAAGGATGGGTGAGTATATGGCCCAATGGAACTATATTTTGCTCTTTATAGTGTCAGAGAGCTTATCTGCACAGACCTCAGTAATCCCTCTTGAGGGTAACTTGGGTGAGAAAGCACCATGTGGGCGTAAGGTTACGGGGGGGGGGGGCGCCCACCTCGTCCCAGGCAGGACCATGCGGGCACGGGCCAGATGACAACCAGTGGATGAGACACAGCTGGAGTCACAGCCTGTCTGCCCTTAACCTGAACCCGGGCACAGCCACTCCCAGCTGTGTGACCTCAGGCCACTGACGTCCCTTTGGAGCCTCAGTTTTCCTTCCTGTAAAATGGGGGCACTAACGCCAACTTCAGGTAGAGAGCATTAGCATTAAATGAGTCGGCAGTCAGGGCTCAGAGGGAAAAAAAACAGATTGATGAGAGGAACGAAAAATGCTGATTCTCTACTTGCTGCTCACGGCCTTAGGTCTGCGGCTCCTCCCTGGATCCCTCACTTCCTCTGGCAAACCCTAGCTCGGGAGATCTGCTGCTGGCTGCTCTCTCTGCTTGCTGCTTTTCTATAATCATGACATGCCTTCTACAAAGTAAGTCTCTCAGCTTAGCGCATGAACACCACTGCCCTGGACAATGACGCAGATGTCTTCCCTATAAATTCCACCCCCACCTCACATACTCAGGGAGAGGCTCAGCGAAAAAATAGAGGGGTCTCTAGAAATCAGCACTTGTTTCACAAATTCTCCTTCAAGACCCTGAAGACCTGTGGCAGTACCTGGTTTGTCCACGAGAGGGCAGACTTCCCCAGGCTGTTTGCATGCCCGCTGCAGTCTATTAAGGAATTTTGCCACCTCCAGGCGGTTCTAATTCCCCGTTCCATATGTTGCCTTCTGGTCCCTCCTCCATCGTCCCCACACACCGCCAAAGTTAGGCTTAAACAGCCCTCGTGATGGATCCCTCATCACGGAAACCCGGCTGAGTGAGGTTGACCAAGTCCTGCGGGCCCTTCTTCCGCCCCAGGTCTCCTGCTCCTCTCGGCTCTTGCTCTCGGGGGTTTCTTTGCTCGTCTTGCAGACTCCTACAGAATGGTCCTGCTAAGAGCCATGCTGCAATAAGACCCCAAACACCCTGGGGTCCAGCGTTCGCTCAAGGCCTTAGGCGCGGGATGCAGCCCTGTACGTCAGCTGCTCTGCCCGCCGCAGGGCCGCAGCGGGGTCAATGGCACCGACCCCCGGCCCCCGGCCCCCAGCCCCCTGCCCCCAGCCCCCGGCTGGCGGCCGCTGAAGACTGCTTTGTGTCTTTACGTCCAGGTGGAAGCAGCTTCCACAGCCTCCTGAAAGCGCTTAGAGCGCCACACTGTGACCAGAAGGAGAGCTGCGCAGAGCACCAGGGTGCTTAGTGTGGAAAATGGAATTAAAAGATAAGTTTATGTAGCTTTTAAAAAAGATTCTGTTTACTTGAAAGGCAGAGTTACAGATAGATAGGGAGAGAGAGAGAGAGGGAGAGAGAGAGAGAGAGAGAGAGAGAGAGAGAGAGAGAGAGAGAGAGACCTTCCAGCCAGGGTTGGGCCAGGCTGAAGCCAGGAGCTTCAGCTGGGTCTCCCACATTGGTTGCAGGGGCCCAGGGAAACTTGGGCCATCTTCCGCTGCTGTCCCCAGGCCATTAGCAAGAAGCTGGATCGGAAATGGGGCATCCAGAACAATAACTGGTGCCCATAATGGATGCTGGCGTCGCTGACTGCAGGTTTACCCGCTGTGCCACAAAGCCAGCCTAAGGTTAAATTTTGAAATGTGAAACCATGCATAGCTTCGTCATAGACATTTGCCGTGGACTTCTGAAGTGCCCTCTCCCTTCTCACGTGTGCACCCACCCTCCGCAAGGACGGCCTATTTCTCACCCTGCAGGAGCCCCTCTGTCACAAGCCTTCCCAGCCCCCACGCGCCTGGTCCCCCCCACCCCCAGTGTCACAGGACCAGACCCCTCTTCAAAGCCCATATTATTTTTTGGTTTAAAGCAGCAGTTCACACAGTTCACTAACCAGAGTTACTGACTGTTCGATGCTAAGCACTGTTGCAGCCGCAGTGGGCAGCCGTGCAGAGCGCTAAGAGCGGGGCCTCGCGGACATTCCGTTCTGCAGAGGGAGAATTCAGAAAACCAACAGCAGTGGTGACAGCAAAAGCCAAGCCGCAGTGGTGCAATGAAAGCAATTAGGGAAAGGGGAGTGGAGAGCAAAGGGGCGGGAGCTGTGGCATCTGAGAGGTCCGAGGAGTCGGCTCTGATAGGTGGCTTCTGAGCAGAGGTCTTTAAAAAGTGAGGGCTGAGCCACGCCCATATGGGCAGGTGCAAAGGCACTGTGGTAGGCAAGTGTGGGGAGCTCAGCAGGATCCTTCTCACTGCTCTGTGGAACACAGAGTCCTAGGGCTCAAGGACAGCAGGGAGTCCTGCTACAGAGGTGCCGCCGCCACGCAGGTGGAAATGGCAGTGGCCTGTGCCACAGCAGTGGTGGCGGAGGAGGTGAGGGGTGTTTGAAAGACAGAGCCAACCCCACGTGTGGAGGGACTGCACGTGGTTTGCAGGAGAGAGGAGTCGATGGTGATTCCAAGCTCCTTTGCTGGAAGCGGCACCAGAGCGTGACCGGGAGGAGGCGAAAGGTGCCCGTGCTGTCCAGCGCTTGTGCGTCAGATGAGACTGAAGACTGCACGTGAGCTCAGGCAGGGAGGGCACAGGTGAGCCCAGGGGACCCGAGGGCCAGGCCCTGGTGCAGGGATCTAAAGACCCTCCCCCCAACACCCATCCGCATCCTGCTCAGAGCAGCAGGCAGCCCCTGGCCCCAGCTTGGCCCCAGCAGTCAGGTTAACCCCGGGAGGACGGGGTCCCAGCTAAAAGGGGGCGTGATCCTGAGGCAGGGGAAGTGGGGGTTCGGGTGCCTGGAGGGAGCGGCGTGCGGGGGCACGCTCTCCAGCTGTGGCCTGCAGAGCAACTGGGCAGCCAGCAGCAGTAGCTCCCCAAAGTTTGGGGATCTTTGGAGAAACAGCCACATCGGGCCCCGTCCTCAGAGCCTTCTGTTTCATTGGCCTGGGAGTGCACCCAGCAGTGAATGGTTAACCATCTTCACAGCTGAGCCTCACAAGGCTTGAACGTGTCCGCTGAGAAAAGTCGTCTTCCTTCCCAACTGTCTACACTGCCGGCAGCCTGCGACAGCCCTGGACCTCGCTGGAGTGTGGGGAGGAGCCCACGCTTCCCGGGACAAGACAGCACCACATGGGTCACCCGTGAGGTCTCAGCACCCACAGCTCGGCCCCAGTGCCTCCGGCGGGGTGGGATCGAGGGCTAAGACCAGGAACACGAAGTGCGCTTCTCCAAGCCGCGAGTGAGCAGTTGCTGCCTAATCACCAAGAAGCTCAAACGCGAAAGGTCGATTG